TGCAAAAGCACCTTGAAGCTCTGACAAGCCAGCCCCATTGTGAGAACGGCTGTCAGAGAGCACCCCCCAGTCTCTCTGGGAAAGAAGCAAGACCCAGAAGCAGCAGACAGAATCTTGAGGGGTTGACTTCACAGCGTTTCAATCACACTTTGTTGAGTTTCGGTTCTCAGTTCTCGCCCTGTAAGTAAAGAACAGAGTTTGTTCCCAGTGCTCAGCGACTTGGCCTCCCACATGGAAACGGAATCACAAAGACATGTGTGTGTGCATGCATACAGACGTGTGCTTTTATTCCAAACTCAAGAGAAAGAAACAACTTCCCCAGATTTTTCAATTCCTATAAGGATTGTAGTTTACTATTTCTGGATTTGGATCATTGCGTTCCCTGGATTATTAAACATAGCAAAAAGCCATCTGCAATGAATCGGGCTTGCTCCTCTAATTGAGTCATGCTGTGAAGTCCCTTTACTGTTTCTCTCACTCCGTTGCTGCATATTTTCTCAAGAATGATAGAAAATACATTTTTACTACTAATGCCACCTGCAGGTTGAAGGGAAACAGTTGCAAAATTCTTGCGATCTTGAATTCTTACAGCACAATGTTAGAACGCTCTCCAAAATATCCCCAAGCCTTGCCAATCAGCAGAAAAGGAGTCTCGTGGCCTTAAGAATGTTCTGTATAAAACTATGTCTTTCCTATTTCCACTGCAGCCAGTCTGCTCCCCACTAGATGCTCAAGCCAACAGATGCTTGCACTTAAGAATATGTAAGAAGCTGATTCTTAGAACGTAATTGCTTTAGGACACTCCGTACAACAGCATTCAACTCCCGTTGTCACAGGTAAAAGTGGGCTGAGTGTTATCCTCAATCAGTTACTTTCCACATGAATTATTTCCTAGGTCAATCAATCATTCCCTGCAAGGGCTGCTACTTGGGTTCACTGTGCTAAACGAATTAGTACACGTTGTGCCAACTCCACATCTTTATTTTCTCTGCTAGGTAAGGTTTCTTGAGGAGACACATTGTTTTCCACTCTAATTAGCTTCTTATTATGACTGACATCATCGTTACTACATTATGATTATTAGTCATAGTAGATAAACTTTGCTATCAGTTCATTATAAATTATGCTCCAGCTTCTAGTCACACAGATGTTATATTGCCAATCACCTGAGCAGCACAAACCTAAGAGGAAGTGAAGGACATGTCTGTCAACATTTTTATGAGTGTCCTCACTGGTTGACACCGCCGAACAGGACAGCAGCCTCCATCCTGCCACCACCCAATGAAAGCAACTCCCAGTGTGTGCAGCATCTCTGACTCAATGGCACAGTGACGTAGTGCTTTGGCAGAGGGACAGCGAGAAAACCTTGAGCAGCCTTTAGCAACTTCATCACCTGTTTTGATTCTTACTGAAATTACATTCAAGAACCACGATGAAGGAATAGAACCAGTTGCCTAGTACACCTGGCAGGCTACCCTAAACAGGTTATCTGACCCTCAATAGGGAGACACACTTTTCCCTAGGAACAGTCATGAAAGGATGCAGAAGAAAGGAGAAGTGACTTAGAATATTCCATCCCTCCTCCTTGGCGCTGAGGAGTGCAAGGCACGTGAGTGTAGTGATGTCTGCTTTTCCTTTTCCTTGGCTGAACTTACAAAAGGATCCTTGTCCCTAACCTCAAGCAGGCAACAAAGTAAAAAGGCTTTCCTGAAAGTTAAAGCATTGTACCCGGCTACAAAATGTCCTTTAAATGTGTATTGTTTTACATTTTGCTTAATATCCCAGATATAAGCAAAATGCCACAAAAGTCTCATTTAGTCCCTAGATCCTATCAGAAAAACAAAGTGTGCTGACATCATCAGGCACAGGACGAGACTCCCCAGAGTTCAAAGCTCACCTGTGCTTTCATATTGTGTGTCCTTGATGAACAATCACCCCTCCAGACAGCAACAGGGCTGACATTTGGAACTAGACAGTTCTTTGCTGTGGACACAGGACAGTGTCCCTTTGTTGGATGGCAACAGCATCCTTGGTTAGATGCCAGTAGCATTCTCACAGTGAGAACAACCAAATAGTATCCAAATGAACTTTTGTGGGTAGGAGTAGTGTCCAAACTGTTCCAAGTACAGAATCTTTGGGCAAAGTGGCAGCTCTTCCAGTATAGAGCACACATGATTCATCTTTGTAGTGCAGTTCAGCACAGGGAAGGCAAGGGGGAATGGTCAGCAAAGTCTGGCTACAATTATGCACTAGTGAAAACGTGACCAGTCCTAGGTTGAAAAGAATTTTTCCACGTCTGAAAGGAGCAAGTGATACTGTTCAACCTTTCTAACCATTTGTTATAGAAAGACCAATGTAACAGACTGGTCTTGTTTATATCTGATTTAAAAGACCACTGTGCTGTGTGCTCAGAAACAGTGGCCTCTGTGAAGACAGAACCATTGGTGCTGGATGGAAGGGGAAAAGCTCATGACTGACTCAATCGTGGAAAAGTTCAAAAGAAAATATCTTCGCTGAGTGATGAAATTATTAATTGCAATTCCTGTCCATACTTTGGACAGTCATGTGAGTGGATAGGCGGACTGTTCAGCAGGATTTATGGAAAGAATGCACATTTTTAAAGTGTGAAGCTGCTACAGATGGACCACGTGAGGGGATCTGCAGATGCAGGCACCCCAGGAACTTCCTCGGGGGCAGGATGGTAGCAGCAGTACCTGTGGGCCAGATGTAGCTTGAAGACCAAAGGGCATCACATTCACCCAGGTCATTGTCCCCTGAGAAACCAAACTCTCATTATGTGCCCAGTACAATCTCCTCTCCTGCAAGCAGTCTGCAGATTTCTCTTTCAAAATATAGGCAGCTACTTCCTTTTCTCCACAAAAGCTCTTATCAGTTTTCAATGACAGAGATCTATTTTGAGATGAACACATTGAACAAAACCTTCATCCGTGTGTGCATGTGTCTGTGTGTGTGTGTTTTATTTCCCAACATGGCGGCTGCAGCTTATGCCCGCTATCTGCATAAGTCTTTTGTGTATTGCTAATGGAGTGCTGGAATTGTAGCAGCCCTGAGCAGCGAATACATGTGAGCAACAATATGCTGAGAGACCCCTCGGTGGAATCTAATCTGTTCCAGCTCATGCACTCCTCAGAAACTATTTAACTTTCATTAAACTGTGTTTGATATCAGCTAAATAGGATGCATACGGCTCCAATATAGCTCATATGGTCGCATTCATTGGATCACAGCAGTGCTTTTTTTTCTTATATTTCCCCCAACTTGTGTCAGTACCCAGTATAGCTGGGTAAATAGGAGACCTTTGAAGATGTAGTTAGTACTCAGATTTCTTTATTCTTTTGTGCTGGTTTCTTAGTGGTGAAACAGTGATTCATGTATGTCTCAGACAGCCTCCATTAATTTCATGTAATGTAGCTTTTATCTCGTAGCTGGGACAACTATCTCCAGCATCCTGTCGCTCTGCCATCCCCTGCTCTGTCCTCAGTCCCCTTTGCGTTTCCCCCACACTCTCCATTGCTCTTCATTTTCAGTTTCTGCCTTTCTTTCTCTCTTTCATTTTTCCTTTTGTAATTTTATAGCATCACAAGAAGTAAACAAACAGGTTCAAATGAGTGGGGGGGGGGCAGGGGAGACAAGAACAGCAGTGAAAGGTTTCCAGTCTGGTTATGTCTTTATGCCAGAAAGATGGAGACAAGCAACAGGGATTAAAACATTTATCCAGACAGGAGAAGAGTGTTGTGCCACCCCACACTAAACAAACACATGCACACATACACAGACACAGACACAGACACACACACCTATTCAAAAGACACCAATTTGATTATGAATGCAACACAGTAGGAAAATTCAGTTTCTCAGTTTCTGGGGAGGAAAAAACTGGTAGATTTGGGCTGTTGAAAAGTATAATGCTAAACACACATACACACACTCTCTCACACATACACACACACTCACAGGCACACACACAGACACATACACACACACACATGCTCACACAGGCACACACGGTGAGAAAGACTGGGCATGTTACCAAGATGTTATCAACCAAGTAAATAATATTGTTTACTGCCAAAACTCCTGTTCTTCTTATTATTAAAAAAGTGCAAACAGTTTCACCTTTAGAAATATTAATGGGATATGGGTGAGACTGCATAGTGTCCTTCTCACTGATTTTTTTCAATTATGCTTTATTAAATCCCAAGGAATAATCACCATTTTTTAGAATGCTTAAGAGGAACGACATGGGGTCCTTTGGAGCAGGGAACCCAATTATTTAGGATATTATTTTGTGAACCTTTTTCATTTTATTAGTATACCAGAGGGTTTTCACATCTCAAGGAGAATCCAGCTATTATTGCTTTTTCAGAAGAAACGTCTCACCGGGGCAATTAATTCTATACATTAACACCAGTCACCATTGTGCTGTATATTATTAAAATTATAAAAGGAGAAAGCCACATTTTATCATTCAGCTCAGAAAAGAGGTCATTTATATATGTGTGGATTAGAGTATAAACCTTGCTACAAATATCCCTCACTAGGTGGAACTTTGCAAAGCCCTGAGCCAAGGTAGCTGTGGTCTCTCCATAATCTCAAATGTTGATAGACAAGGAAAACTGCACTAAGAAAGGTGAGCCCACAGACAGGCTAGGTGCTTACCTCTCTGTCTCTGCCACTCTAGAGGGATGTGAGCCATTTAACTTTGTTGATGAGCACATGTAATTAAGACTGTGTGCCTTAATGTTTGATGCTGCAACCCGAAAGGGTGACTTTAAAAAAATTATTTAGACAAGCATATTGACATTTTCATATATATTATTAATCTTATTAATAGCATTAACAAAGGCTAATTGAAAATGCATCATCTATAATTATATTAGTCTTCATTTAGTACATTTTTGTCAAAGTAAACTAGAAAGGAGTAATTAATGTGCCACTGTTATTTACCCCTGTTTGTATTAAAGCTGCTGTTACACAATGTTCGAGATGAATATAGCCTGATTTCTCTGAATGCCGTGGAGCAAGCTTTCAGAAGCAGGAAAATACGCAGCTGTGTTTTCTTATACCAGGAACCTAAAAATAAAAACCGACTCCAGGACTGCATGCTAGGTGTGTGATCGACAAAGACGGAGGTTTCCAGATCCTGTCCCTTCTGCCTGCTGCACTGCTGGCTGCCAGTTTCTCTTGGTGGTGGCTCTGAGAGCCAGGACAGGCAGAATCTAGAGTCCTAGTACCTCAACTGCTTAACAGGTGAATACAGAAAGGTGCAGCCCTGCCCACTGGATTTAGGGGTGAGTATGACTGACTCCATGGGAATAGGACAGAGGAAAATTATATTTACAAGGGATAAATTCCAGGTTGGATATGGACTTTCACAATCCATGACTCTGTATATTCTGTGAAAGATAAAGCTATAGCAATGACCCAAGGAACATTGCCCTTAGTAACCTACAATTCCAAAGTTAGACTTGATATTGCAAGTCCTTTCCCCTGACCACCCTAGTGTCCCTAACAGAGAGAGAGAGAGAGAGAGAGAGAGAGAGAGAGAGAGAGAGAGAGAGAGAGAGAGAGAGAGAGAGAGAGAGATTCAAGCCCCACATGAAAATATGTTAAGGGAGGGTGGGGGGAATCCAGAAAGCAGGCAAGCAATAGAGACTAAAGTTAATGTGGAATTAATCACTTTAAAGTTTCTCCCCTGGCTTGTATGACTCTGTCTTTCTGAGGTCAGCCATTTCCTGAGGCAGGCAGGGAGAGCGCAGCACGGGGTGTGAAATGGAGGCATGCAGGGATGGCGATGAACGGCACATCTTTTAATCAGGTGGAGCCAAGGCAGTGATGGCTGGGATTCCAAAGCCCGGCTCTGGGCGTTCTCCTGAGCTCTAATAATAAGTGTGGCATATTGGTTGCATTGGCTGCCAAGAGCTATGTCCGTGCCCTCTCTGCAGTGGGCAGCCACAAACATGCTAGCTAGGAGCTCTCAGGGGGGCCCCGTGTGTGCTGTTCCTACATGGCTAACATATGTATCGACACCTGAAAGCTACAGCCTGCCACGTCTCCAGGACCCTGCTCGCCTACCTTTGCTCCTTGGTCACCAAGGGTTAATTTTCTAATGGCTGCCTTGCTGCTGAAGCTGGCCAAGTTTTTCATCGCCCGCAGAGCACCACAAGCTGTGATTTGGAGCCAGAAAACACCATTAATTTTCTAAATAGGAAGGATCACATATGTAAACTGTCTGGTTCTGTAACGAGTCGGGCAGGTAGAAGATGGAGGAGGAGGAAGGGAATTTTTCCAGACACATAGGCCAAATAGCCCAGGCCAATGGGCAGCATACTGCACGAGTCTTTGGGATGGGAGGGGGTGGGAAGAGAATGTAGGAAGAAATTCCCTCTCCCATCTCTAATTCTGTTTCAACATTTCTACAAAAGGTCAGGTTGGTAATTTATTGGGTAGTGTTAGGAGTTTGTGCATTAGACTTCACTAGAAACTTATTTGTAAATGAAAGAATGGATTAAGTAAAGTGCCCCAGCTCAGAAGTCACGTAGGAGCTCCTGAGTACAAAATTGCTCTGGTTAGCAAGCCCAAACATTTCAGAGGACAGAGAATCAAAATTTCCTCTGATGGAAATGACTTACACATCTACCACCTTAGATGTTATAGACACCCATGAAAAGCATATCTGAAGGGTTTGCAAATAGAGTGTTTAAAATATACAAAGTACAAATCTGCCCCAAAGCAGATAAAACCCTCCATTTAGGGTGTGTTTAGCATGCATGTCTGTGATCATGCATGTACATATGCTTCTTGTCAGATACATGCAGGGGTAGAAGGGTCATACCAGAGGGTGTTAAGAATCTTTTATCTCTTGCATAAATATCTCTTTCCAGAGCAGTATTTCTGTCATCTGAGATTCTAGAACACTCTCTTGGTCCCCCAGAGTATGCTTAGAGGAGCAAGTTTCCCAGCCTGATTTCATTCTGGGAACTTCTTAATGCTCTTGATTCTGTTTCCATTTTACAATGAGAGGGAAGATTCTCAGTTCAGACCCTAGGAGAAACACCACTGAGATAGTGGGGTTTCCACACACCAGTCTATCGCCTAAGGAGCATTAATGCAAAGCAAACAAAGAGTAAAGTGGACTTCTGGAGTCCAAAACTGTGCCTGAAGTTCCCTGCTGGAAAAGCAACTTAAGGAATCTTTATGTGTCCAAAAATAATGACCCGAAGGACTACATGTTGGCTTGTGAGTGTATTGTAATGGGGCTAAGACATTCTATGATTTTAATAGCAAAACGACCCAAAGAAGGAGACATCCAGTTTCAGCATGCGTTAGTTCCTAGTGCTCCTTTGGCACCGCTGAGGCAGAAACAGCAGAACGGCTGGCTGACTGGTGGCCCTCCAACTCCTGATGCTGAAGGTGTAAGACAGGGAGGGACAGTCTGGTCCTTCACGGGAGCCAGGGAGAGAAGAGTCTGCTCCCGCCTTCTTCCTTTGTCCAGCCGCGTGTCACTTCTCCTGTCCTTCAGCATTGACCTTCTGATGTGCCTCTGCCTCTGTGCCCGCATTTTTCCTTTTAAATGCTTAAGTCATATTGGATGAAGGCACTGACTTCACACTATCTATTCACATCTGGAAGGACTCTCTATTTCCGAATAAGGACTCACTCTGAGATTCTGAGGCTGGGGAAGGGGGGCATCAAATGTCTCTGGTAACAAAGGGAGGGAAAGAGCTTGCTCCAAAGTTGCTGTGTTCACACAGTTACTAGGGCATCGCTGAAGGAACAAGGTGTGCACTATACCCACAGTACAAAGTGCTGGCTAGGTTTGCTTTCAGGAACAGTTCCACATAATTTGATCATAATTCCCTCAGACCTGTATTGTATTCACTATTATTGAGAAAATTGAAAGCCCATGAATTTAAATAAATTGCTAAATGTCACATCGTTGGAGAGAGGAAAGGTAAATTCAAGGCTTCCATTTCCTACCCAGTGTTTGACCCACTAGTATACAAACCCCATTTGAACTAACCAACCACTGGCACATTTTATTATCCATGTTGCCTTGGTCCCACTGTTAAACTACCCAAAAAATTGTCATTACTATCATTCTACAACTGCTCTCCTTTATTTGTCCCCAAGTTTTAGGTGAGACTTATTTCTTGACCTAACTTGGTTTCTGTTCCAATGTGTCTTAATAGTTGTCCATTCTGAATGAGGTGTAAAAGTTGTTCAGAATCTACCCCAGTCTATTTCATCACTCTGCATAGACTAGTTGTGCGTCCCACTTTGAGAGCCAGCAGTCACTACTACCAAGCCAGTGATTCCACAATTGTCCCAGCAACGGCACAAGCTGTTGACAGCAGCCAAGCTGGGTGTGGGGCGGCCATCATTTTTCAGCTCACTTTCTCCTTTTGCCTAGCCCATTGCTCTAGGTAGAACACTGTTCATTAAGGCGCTGCAGAGCTCAGTAGAACTTATTCTCGCTGAGATCGCCTCTCTGGTCTTCTGAAGCCTTTAAAAGGGAATGAGCCTTGGCCTCCTTTTTATGGGCTACATTATGACCTGGCTTCAAAGTGTGAAAAGAGGTTCCAAGATTCCCTTTGTGCGGTGGAGTCTCTTAATTGCACTTTTAAACACAGTGTAATTTTTGTAATTAACATTATAGTTTCAGAGGGCAGAGAAGCCCGCACCGTGCTAATTACAAACCGGCGTCTTCAGAGTGGTGGAATTTCCAAGGCCTCTCTGATATTGGGGTGGAATACAGTTTTATGAAGGATTTCAAAGATCCTCTGTGGGCTGTGTTCTGAGTCATCATTAGCGTTTGATAACATAAAGAAATTTTACAACATGTGACAGATTTTCTATGTGAAAGTTTTACCTGATAACTGGAAAATTTGCATAAAGAGCTTCATTAGGTCCCTCGCATTATGGAAGGAGTAAGAAGTATAGGGTACTCTTGCCTAAGATTGTTCTTAGGAGCCCAGGAATTGGTGCTTTATAATAAAATTTACAGTATATTATGAAGTAAAATTGTAATAATCTTCAATGATGTTGAAAATCAGAGCCTACATACCTTTTAAAGAAAGGTGAAGATATGTATCAGAATTACCATGTAACTGCAAGCCTTGCAGTAAAGGTATATTGTGCTGTTCATTGTCATGTTAGGGTGCTGAGCCAAGGAGAGAACTCCATATATATGTAACACCAAGTGACAATAATATGTAATTTTTTTAAGAGTCAGCTCCTGAGAAAAAATTATTTTCCCCTTGCTCCAGAGGCAAGTTTATGTTCTCTTTATTTTTCACCCCCAAGCCATCAACTGAGTGGCGGTGGTGGTGGTGGTGGTGGTGGTGGTGGTGGTGGTGGTGGTGGTGGTGGTGGTGTGTGTGTGTGTGTAGATTCTCATATTTGCTCATACAACGCTATACAGACTTGTAGAGAGGTGCAATGGGCAGATCTCAGCTTCTGCAGAGTTACTGGCCTTTTTTAGGCAGTCCTGTCAGAAGCAATTCTGTGTGTGGATTGGACATGAAAGCAATCCATTTGCTGAAATCCTTTCACTACTCATAGATCAATTAAGCCAGAAGTAGTGATAATTTGGGGAAAGCTTTCTGTAGTGCTGGGAACAGGAATGCATCATTATTCCATGTTCTTACTATTTCAGCACCATGCATATGCCTCTCGATGTATAGCAGCAGCTTACGGCATTATCTCAGTGGGATGCATTTCCCTTCATGAGAGTCTTTTCCTTGGCGATTATGTAGATAATGCATAGCTTTGTAATGACATCATAAATAGAAACCAAAGTCCTAAGAAACAATTAGGGAAATATATCAATACTTCCTTGTAATCATAACATCATCTGACTTGCAGTAGGATGCCAGACCAGCTCCTCTGGTTCCATAATCACGGATAAGCACTAATGCCTGCTTCACGATCCATCTTTAGAGTCTCAGGAATCTTGGCACTGGAAACAAATTAATATGCATTTTAGCTCTTTGTCAATAAGAGAAATCACACTGGGATTTTGATCACAGGACCAGACAAATTAACCCAAGCTGATACAAACTGGAGCCTCTCTCTATTGACCTCAGGCAAAACTAAGAATGAACTAAAATAAAAAAGGCAATATCCCTGAAAGTGAAGGACCAGAGACTTCTTGCAGTAAAATTGTTGCACTTTCTTTTACAGAAGTATATCTACGGCTTGAATTTTTAAATTTTATTTTCTTCCCTTGAACTATTCTTCCCACCCAATATTTCTTTCTGGACTAGTCTGAGTCACCTGGAACATGTGTGTGTGCGTGTGTGTGTGTGCGCGTGAGTGTGTGTGTGTGTGCGTGTGTGTGTGTGTGTGTGCTCGTGCGTACACGTGCACATGTGCGCTTTCATGGGAGAAAGGGCCACTCTCTCTGATTGGTCTGAGGCATATAGGTCACCTTTGCATGGGAGGGCAGCAACCCACACTCTAAGTGGGTCGTCCCAAATCTACTGTGGATTTCATGAGTCCTCTCTTCTGCTGAGGAGAGCAGGGGTACGAGTGAAAGAACGCTTCATTTGTATCCTGAATCATTTACCAATTCTAGGAGAGGGGCAGGGCTCTTCTCTCTTAACTCCTGTAGTATCCTACACACAGGAAAAGAACTTTTAGATAAATGATCAAACTTACATAGTATACAGCTTTTATTTTTACAAAATATTTGCTTCCTGCAGAGTGTATCTTAATTCACAAATGCAGAGATCTGTCATTAAGATCTGACCCAGCTGCATGGCATTGTCAAATGCAATAACGTATCTTTTAATAGTTTTATATCAAGTAAGGATATAACATATCATTAGTTTAAATGTATTTGCAAGCAATTACCCCCACCAGGATATTTGAGAATGCTCATGCAAAATTGATGAAATTCTGACATGCTTAAACATTGTTCATTTAGCTCAATTCCTTATGTATAGAAAAAATAGAATAAATAATCCTACTGCCACTTTCAAAGCACAGTTAGGCATTTTTATTCCACTCAGGGCTTTGGATCTCTTTTTAAACTACAGCCTTTGGTGATAATTTGGACAAAACAGTTTCATATATGTTTAATTTTAAATAATGGGCTAGATTTTTCATTCTTGTTATTGTTCAATGCAGTAATTTAAATATGAAGTAGATTTACTGCATGTCAGTTGCCTTTCTTCTACAAAATGGGATAAATTATTAAATGAGTAGAGGTTGTTTGACAACCGGTTTTGCAGTACTACACAAAAGAAAGACCTCTCACACTCTGCTGCCTTTCTAAAAGAATAAAGAATAAATCAATTAAGCCACTATGTTGTGGCTTAGAGATACAATGTTATGGCATGATGGCACTTTGCCCTTCAGGTGGATTGGAGATAGCTTTACCATCACACTCACTCAGGGAAAGGAAAGAAAGCCATAGGTGGGCTCTCCAGTGTCTAGCCTGGGTTTTCAAACCTTCTGCTGGAGTGGCCTCTCACAATATGAGGGACACGCTGTAGCCAACAGGTGTCTTTCCACTTTTCATTGATTGCCCTACTGACTATTCTGTACTAATGATTAATCAAGACTTTTCAATGCTTCGAATTCTGTCTGCAGTTTTCTGCTATGTTCACTGATATGTGCACCAGAGGAGAGAAATGTTGAAGTCAACCTCTCATCACCATTTTATGCAAGCCAGGTGAGAAATTGCATTTCCATGCCTTCCATGCTGTTCCCCAGTACCATATTAGTTTCTGTGTAATTAATAACACTTTAAGCTCTGTCAAAAAGAAATCACTTTTATTCTTTCTCCAAAGAGAATCATTTGTTAACTATGTATGATCTCCAAATACATTTTTCTTTACTAATGTCACCAATAGCTATACCTTCTGAAATATTAATTTATCTATCCAAATCCATAAAGACTATTCAATTATTTTTTTAAAATCTCATCATAGTGAAACACTATTATCCTGGTTTTGGAGGATCATGAGACTGGAACTTTGTGAGAACTGTTTCTGGGTATATCACTACTGTGGGGCAGACTGACACAGATGGAAAGAAAGAAAGAAAAAGGCCAAGGAGGCAGCTGTCTTCCCAGAAGGAAAATCACCTCATAAGAAGAAAGGCTACTAGCTGGTTCACACTGAACAGTTAGCAAGGTACACACAGTATATACTTGGGCCAAGATAAGGAATGTAACCGTAGGGGGAGGTTAGAGTAAAAGAGACACTACTGGAGAGTGGCAACCTAGTAGAAATTTAGGTAGATGGAAATAGAGGAGCAGATCTTAGATAGGTAGGAAAACTGATTTGAATGTGTAAAAAATATTTCAATTGTTTTTGAAAAATGAAGTGATTACAGGAAAATGAAAGAAAACTGGAATAAGTAGGTCACATGGCAGCTAGTTGGCAAAACTCCAAAGCACAGTCAGAAGGGGGCACATAGGCAAGTCTGGTCACTGATTCTCAAGCAATGGATTGCCTTAAAAAAAAAAGTAAGCCTAGGGCAACAGGAGCATGGTAGGGGAAGGCTACCTGGTCACCTGTTGAATTGTTAAGAGCAGTCCAAGAGTTAACAAATTTCTAGGATGGGACAGACAAATGGTGATGTTCTTCAAGACTGCTTGCTGGCCAGCCTAATATGGGATTCAAAGGAAAGAGGGGTATGAAATATCCTGGGGTGTATGAATCAAAGTAAAAGAGATTAATTAATGCTATTCCCCACAGATGTCAATAAAGAGACTCTGCTACCTCATTGGGGAAAGAAAGAATAATTTTCACAGTTGTTTATAATTTTAACTTTCAGAAATCCTACTTAGGCAGTCTATAACTTGGCAATAATACCATCACATTTACCCCTATTCACAGCCAATGCTGTGCAGCATTCAGTTCAGCCTTCTGATTTTCCACTTACTGACATACAGCCCCAGAATCTATTTTACCCCTGAATTCCGAAAAGCTATTGCTCATCATCAAAGTTATTGTATGGACTCTTATACATATAAACACAGAATGATGGTCCATCCCTAATTTAATGAACCCATCTAAAACAATACTGTACAGTATGTCATGGGGCAATATTTTAAAAGACTTAACTATACATTCTTTGGAGAAACCACTATTATCACAAGCGCATCCAGATATGACACACAGATGCAAAGAACTTTATTTGTAATATCTCTATAGATCTAAAATACTTAAAGACAGAGAAGGTCTTGAGTAATTCAAGCCAATGGATGACATCCTGGAACAGGGATTAAGCCCTCTAAAACAAGTTCATGCTATAAAAACAAAATCCCAACCATTATTTTGCAACAATACATCCTCCCCCACCAAAACAAAACAAATACCAAAAATAACCCTGTGCATTTAGATTTCCAAGTGACTTCAGAAAGCCAGCAGCTGGACATGGACCCAAGGCAAGGAGAAAAGGTAACTGGGGGAATGGGCAGAAGAAAGCCACACTATTGTTCTAGAGAATGGAGAACAATAGGGGAATTAGTAATAGTTTACAAGGGTCTCAAGAGTTATTCTACAGGGAATGCTGAACAGCTGTTCTTCATCTTTTTTCAGGACAGAACCCAAGGAGATGTACTGCACTCCAGGATGAAGGGTTCCATTTAGTCAGAGGAAGAGTGGCTCAATAATAAGTGTCATTAGATCCTGGAGGCAGTTTTGGAAGCAGTCTCATTCTTCTGAGTGCTTGTCCTCAGGTCCAGCCCACGTTTGAAATTCCAGCTGCACTTCCCAGGTCTGTCAGGACCATTCGAACCATTCCCAGGAACAAAGAGAAAACAGGCTGTGCCCCAGCATGCAAACTTTCAACCATGTTTAACAAGGTGCCAGAAAAAGCAAGCAGTCTCACCGTGGATTCCCAAGACCCTGGTCTTGTTAAAAACAGTTTATGGTTTGCACAAAAGAGGTCTGTCTTAATTTGCTTCTTTCCTATAAATAAAATAGGGTGCATTTAGTATTCCTAGGAGACTGGTACATTGGCCAAGTTCATGATGCCTGTGGATTTAACAAAAATGTGTTCATTTTTTGCCAAACGAGGGCACCCAGCCTGAAACTCTAAAGACATGCGGAATGAGAAGTCCTACTCCCCATTAAATGGTATATTCTATAACTATTGGCATATAATCTGTTGTCTGCTTTCTTTCCTTTCCTATTTTTCTTCTTTGCCACTTTTAATGAAACTTATTAAGTAAATTTGAAATTTACAAATTCACTTTATGCTTTATGTTGTCTTTTTGGCAAAGTGTAAGCTGCTTACATTTTATAATAATTAAAAGTGAGAAGCTATGCAATTTGATCACTTCTTAACCTCACATCTTACCCTCGCTGTCCCTTACCACATGCTTGCTAGAAGTGTGATCAGGTTCCTCTCTCCCACACAGCTCATCTGAAAGTTCTGCTAGTGGATGCACACTTAGGCAACCACTCTGCTCTCCTTGTGAAATGACTTGGTGAGTCTGCTAACAGCTGAGCTCTTTCCTTCTCCCCAGTGAAGAATCAGAAGTCCTGCTAATGGTGCGTAGAGAACCTCACTTCTCTGTAGAGCAGAATAGACATGAGCTCCACTCTCCTTGAGTGTTGATGCCTTTTGTAGGAAGTAAGTGGATTCATTTCTCATATTCCCAAAGTTAGTTTGCATAATTCTTTGTGAATAGGGGACTCTTTAAGTATTTTCAAGGCAAAAACTACACATACAGAGCCTAAAGAATAAGGTATAGCGGTTAAAGCAGGAACTGCCAAACTAGGTGACCTCAATTCAAGTCCCACCAATGATATACACACAGTTTATGAACCCCAGGCAAAATGGTGTAACCTCTTTGTGCTTCAATTTCCTCATCAATTAAATAGAGATTACTAAAATACTTACATCAGGGAATAATTACATGGGTTAACTATAAATAGAACCTGATTGCCATAAGGCTCAAATCATATAAATATGACACCAGGGCTTAAGTACACTTTCCTGTACCCTAGTCATCATCCTCAAGGTGGCCAAGGTTTTTCTTTTTTCAGTTCTGCCGGATGATACCCATTAGTCTATCCCCATACCATTAGAAAGCAAAGCACATGGTAACAGCAAATGCCATCCCCAGTCATAATTGGTAGAAAAGCTTGTAAAGCTCATATAGGAAATTTGGACAGAAGAAAACAATAGCTTGTTGAGTAGAATGGAAGAGGTGAACTGAACTAATTGGTCTTGTCTCTGCTGAAAACCTGCAGAGCTATTTGAATTCAGAGTCTGCACCTTCAGTTTCCTCAACAAGAGAGACAAGCTGTCCCTGTTGCTGGACACTGGTTTCAGTGGAACACGTATGGCAAGCTAAAAGTCCCATGGCCAGCATCCACAGCAGCAGTCTTCAGACTTGCTTTTGAAATATGCATGGTAGACACAATGTGTGCACTACTCCATATGTCCCAGCACAGACATGGCACTCCTTCTTATTGAGCCTAACACGTTTCCTGTCACTTCAGTCATTTTAGGAGTCCCTTCCCCTCAGCTGAAACTGAGAAGTAGAGGAAATAACATGATGGCCCCAAGTTTCAAATGTCTATGAAGCAACATGGCAGATATCATCAGACACCTAGTCTATAAAGGCCTGATTGAGTCATATACATTTTCTGAACCTCCAAGACCGGGAGTCTGATCCTTCCCGAATTACTGCATATGTGTTAAGGAATAGCTCTCTTCAGACAGAAATCCTCGTTTTTTCAAGGTACTATGGCCAAAATGAACTCCATTGATCTATGCAGGCTTCTTACATGCATCAAGTATGGAGTTGGGTTTTGAATAGACTTCAAGACTATAACACACATTTCCAGACTTCAGGCAAGCAAGTAGGGAAAGAAGTACGTGTACAAATAAAAATCCAAAATAGTTTATGAAATTGAAATATGAAGTTTTATATTGTGTTTTAGATGCAAATCCTTTTAAAGAATGGGGTTTCCCTTGAGATATAAGAGCTTTCAGGTATAAAGCAATGAGCAAATTGGACAAGAGGACAGAGCGGGGCTCGCAGTTAAGAGATGATGCTGTGCACAAGGAACAGCTTGATTATGAGGTCTCCCGTTCTACTGATCCACAGGCCTCCAAGACTCTGGGTCTCTCAGAAAACCAGAGGCTAAGATGTATCTTCAATATATCACCAAACACTAACTGACTGCAAGCATCCATGCTAAAGGATTTTCTAAAAAGGAGTCAGCCAGCCTTGATTGTGAAAACCCCCACACTGTGTTTTAAAGGATTGCTTCAAGAGAAAAGGTTAAATGAGGTTTGAGTGTGGCGTAATAAACCTTCACTGTTCATAAAGCACAGAGTGATAAATGCATGTATGGTTACTGTATAAAAATATTGGGGTCAAATGCCAAAGATCTCAAAGGTTAAGTTTTTTTTCTTGTTTGTTTGTTGTATTTGGGGGGATGTATGTGTGGAGGACCCAAATAGTCAAACTTCAAGAAAATGGCAGCTTGTCAGTCAAAGGCGCAGCCAGTTCCAGCTTGCCAGAGAGTCCCATACCGAAACTCTACTCAGCTTGGAGTTACACACAGCCTGGCTGTGATATACGGCACACAGTGGCATGTAATTTGTTTGGTTCCAAGAGACTAAGACAAGGGTTTGGAAGGTTCACTGCATTGTAGAAGAGATATGCCTGGATGCAGGTTTTCACATTTATAAATAAAAAAGACCCTATTCTTCAGTATAAGGCATCCCTTAGTGCACCTGATCTGGTATCTAGGCAATAGCTAATAAAGATAGCAGCAGCCATGAAGACAAGCAGCTTCTAACACAGAGGTATAGGAAATTGGGGCTGTTAACTGTGAGTGGCCCTGGCCTTAAAGGTAATTTGTGACATAGGTTTTAAGAGTAAAACTTGACCTCCTACTGTAATAAGGTAGTTGTAGGATGGTATTGTGGGATGCATTGTTTTAGGACAATGGAAACCCTGTTTTTAGCTCAAGTCCAGTCTAGAACCTGCACTTCTTGTAAACAAACAAATTTTGAGTCTCATAAGCTGTCTTTCCTTTGCTCTGTGGAGCTGGACAGAGAAGACAATGTAATGCATAAATGGGGGGGGAAGGAAAGGAAGTACCCTGAAGTAATTAACTGCATGAATTTGTAGTATACTTAATAAAAGCAAATTTTCTATAGAAAACATAGAAGTATGGAATTATTTGGAATATGAAATATGAGCCATTGGTGTTTCAGATGTTGATAATTCCTTGTAGTTAGCAATAATGTCCTTAAGACAAAACATAAATCTTCTTTTCTTTTTTAAAAATGATTATTTTTAATTTTTGAGAATTTCATATGTGAATATTATGTTTAAATACTTTTCATCTTCCCTTTGCCCCTTCAACTCTTCAAGTGCCCTCCTTCACACCTTCTCAAGTTCATGACTTCCTCTTGTTTATAGACTTGTATACACACACACACACACACACACACACACACCTGCAGTGGTTTAAATAAGAAAACCACTAAGTGATTTGAGCAGTTAGTCCTTGGTTAGTGGCACTGTTTGGGGAGGTTACAGGCAGTGCAGACTTGCAGGAGGAAATATATCACCAGGGGCAAGCTTTGAGAGTGCATAGCCTCACCCCACTTTTCTCTATGCTTCAAGATGAGATCTCTTAGCTTCCTGCTCTGGCTGCACGCTGCCATGTCTCCCTACCACTATGGACACCACTTTGGAAATGCAATCCCAAGTTCTGTAAGTTACCTTGGCCATGGTAGTTAATTATAATAACAGAAAAGTAATTAATACAATGGCCACTTATTTAGTGTTGCTCATGTGTACATATGTTTAGTGATAACCATCTGGGATCTAATATCCTACAAGAGTGGCCATGTCTTGAAAAAGATGGTCCTTTCTCTGTCAGAAACCACTGCTTGCTTGTAACTCTTCATCTGTGTGTAGGGCTTGTGAAAATTTCCCATCTATACCACAAGTAAACTGGTGGTGTTGTTATCTTATTTTAGGAAGCCATATTGTTGAATTTCATGGGTGCAAGGCTTCTGTGTCATGACGAGAAGGAACTATCTAGCAAAAATTGTTCTGGTCTCCTGGCTGTTACAATCTTTGATTGCCATTCCATAATTTTTCCTGACTCTTCAGTGTAGGTGTCATTTATAGTTGTATCAGCTGGGACTGGGTAGCCCCATTGTCATTCATTCTCTGCAGTTTCATCAGTTATAGGTCTCTGTAATAACCCCAATCTGTTACAAAAGCTTCTTTGATGAGGGATGAGAACTACATTTATCTGCAGGTATAGGATAAGTATTTGGAATACAATTGGAAATTAAATTGGTTTAGGAAAATGCCAATGGTAACTTCTCATCTAGGTCTATGATCTCTCCACCCATAGGCAATTGGCTGGGTTTACAGTGTCAGGCATTAATTCTTTCCTATTTAGGGGGCCTTAAGTCCAATTAGACAACTATTAGTTACTATATTCGTGACTTTTTGATCTCTGATAAAATATCCAACCAATAATGCAAGTTATAGAAAGAAAGATTGGTTTTGGCTTACAGTTGCAGAAGTTCATCATCATAGCATGGCAGCTTGGGAAATTTAAAATGGCATGAATTTTTTTAAACTCCCAAAGCACACCTTCAGCAATATGCTTCCTTAAGCAAGCTCACACTTCCTAAATCTACCCAAATAACACAACAAACTAGGCACCAACTATTAAAATCACCAAGACTATGTGGAGCACCTCATTCAAAGGACCAAAGTTACCACTGTGAATAAAATAAAACAAGACAATAAGAAGAAAAAACCACCACAACATTATTGGGGATATGTCGCTGTGCCAGTCAATATTGAGGGTCTTAGACATAAACCTGGGTAAGACTTTTGATTGCTCCTCTCCTTTGGCAGCATGCATGGCCCATTCTGATACTGTGTGAGCTGGTCCTCAGGGAGGACGTTTCCAGGCCAGTCGCAACTCCATTCCTTCAAGTCCAGTGTCTGAAATAAGTGGAGTCACTAGAAATAGGGCCTTACCTTTGAGTTCTGGGAAGCAATCAAAAGCAATGCCAATGACCTATGTGGCTTGGGGAGTCTCTTGTACTTCCATGACAAATGGCTCAAAGGACAGTTTTCTGTATCTAATACTGATTTTTTTATAGTCTAGGGTTCTTAGTGAAAGCATTATCATTCCAAGTACGTGGAGTGTATATATATATATATATATATATATATATATATATAT